CTAAATCAATAGTAGTTCATAAAGATAAACTTTTTGTTTGCTGGTTTATTTATGATATATAATATAACATGTGACAGATCTCTAAAAAGGTGGCAGCCACATAATAACTTTGACATCGATGCCCAATTGCAGTAATATAATATAATATAATATAAAATGATATAATATTAGTAACATTAATAAAATCCACCAACTCTCCATAATGAGAAAATTCATCCGTCAAACTTAACGGCCGTTATCAATATGTTCAAGTTGACCTTTCAAGTTGTGCTAAAAAAATTTGTTTCCTTTTGTTTATTAATTTTAAGACATTTTTTATTTGAAAGTGATGAAGCACCAAACTTTGACTTCAAAAAGAAAAAAGAAAAACTAAATAAGAAAAATTAAAATTTTAATTACACTTGAGAAATTGAAGAAATAGAAAAGTACAATCACACATGCATGGAGAAATTAAAATATTAGTTTGTTCATAGTTTTATCAAACACCACCAACCACGACTTACATAACATGCATAAAAATTTGTTTACCATTATTAAAGTTTTCAAGTCTCGAATACAAATTCAAAATCATACGTAATATAATATTGAATTTGAATAATATTCCAAACATAACTTAGAAATATTTCAAACACGAAAATAATAGTACGCTTTGTCCACAAAGTTATTTCTCTAGACAATAATATTCTCTATCATCTTATTATATATTTGACCAATTCTATAGATCTAATGAAGTTAAATGTAGAAGCATATATATAGTCTTCTATGACTAAAAATCAACATCATACATTTTTGTGTTTGAACACTTTGAATTTAAATTTATTTTTGCAAGAAAAATATACATAAATGACTATTAAAGATGGCAAAAACCTCTACAAGTCAAATTCTGAAATTGATAAAGAGTATATATATATATATATATATATATATATATATAATAAGTAGAATATTACAAATGTAAGTTAATGATGGAATGTTCAAACTTTAAAACTCAAATTATATAACCTCCAATAAATTTTAAAATAGATTTAAAGCATACGTTACCTCATGTGGTCATTTTATTATAAATTCTTTTGTCACATATACAGCAACTTCTTCCGTCTAAAAAAGAGCAACTTACTTTTATTTTTAATTTATTTTAAAAAAATCTTTTTTTTCAACACTTAATTTCAGTTTTCTAAAAATCAAAATTACAGGATATTTTGATATATATAACATGATTTTAGTCTAAAATTATATAATTGAATTTTTATTTTATTTGTTAAATTTCATATTAAATTGAGCGTTGTCTTTTGAACAGTGTACATATATAATATATTGAACTCATATATGAGATCATTAATGATAGCTAGTGTGACGAATAGGAGAAAATCTGTGGTTGATAAACGAAGACGATACATTAAAATAAAGGGACGGAGATGAACCCAAATATATTGTTAGTTGTACTTTGTGTATTTGGAAATTTCCACGTCACTATAATATATAATACGAGTAACAAAATGCATGAATTTAATGAGTGTACCCAAAGTTATGTGGACAAACAGAAGCAGTGTTGTTCTCGAACATCTAAGCAATTTAATGACACTATTTTATAGGTATAAGGTATTTTTTTTTAAAATCGAAAAAATTATCTTATTAAACATACATTCATGAAGGAGAGAGGTGAGCGAGATCATATATTGAGAAAGATATACTTACATATATATATTTTTACTATTAGATATATTAAAAGAAGGAGAGATGTGAGCGAGATCATAAAAAAATTATTTATTTATCCCAAATTCATACGATCACACTAGATTAATGTATATGTATATATGTATGTTGTGTGATTTATATTTATCTGGTATTACTAGACTCATAGGAGAGTGTCAAACGAGACGAGTGAGAAACAAGAAAGGCGAGAGATATTTGTCTATGTATTTCAAATAAATGCGACTCCAATTAGATGCAATGTATCTTGAACAATTACACCTAATTTTGGCATCATGCATCTGAGACACATGTATCCGAATTCTGGATGTATCTTACTGCACCATAATCCTGTAACATTCATAATAAATTAAAGTGTCTCTAATTATTTAACACCTAAACTAACGAGATTTCAAGGTTGCAGACCGAATTTGTTTATATATCCTTGATACATGCATATCTACTTGAATGTTATGTATCTATAACAAATTACACCTAATTTAACTCTTATATTTTAAGATATATTATCTAATGCCACAAAATTAGATAAAATTCATGATATTAAAAATTAACAATTTAATATATATTTAAATAATTAGCGTCTAAACTAGCAAAATTTCTTGTTAAGTTAAAAATTTAATAAGTACATATAATTTTGAACCTAGAATTAGGAGTTTGCCAATAGGTTAAGAAGGTTCAAAATTCAAGAGATTTTGAATTCAAATGGTTAATTATCACTATGATTATTGATGGTATATTTTACATGATTTTTATATACTAATATATGTTATTTCTATATGACACTGACAATTAGAATTTGAGATTTAAATAACTTTAAATGTTTTTAAATATATATATTAAGTTATTATTTATTGTAACTTATGACACTGACAATTAGAATTTGAGATTTAAATAATTTTATATGTTTTTGAATATATATATTAAGTTATTTTTTATTCTAACTTATAATGCATTTTAACTATATTCACATAATATATATTATTTTTTAATCCTAATTTATGTGAATCAAAAGTCAACTATTTTTTATAAAAATTTTAAATATTTAAATTGTTAATTATTGTGATTTACAGTAATATATTTTATGTAATTTTACATAATATATATTACTCCCTTCATTCCACTTTATATTGTATAGATAAAATTTCAAAAGTTAAATAATTTATTTTTATATTTCAAATTATAAATTATTATGATATCTATTGCGCTTTTATATCATTTTTTACCTATATAAAGCAGTCAAATACAAAAATCTCTAAAGGATAAAACATAAAAATATATACCAAAACTATATTTGGCATAGAAATATGCTGACGAAGAATACTCCTAATCCTTAATTCATTAATTAAAAATAATAAATAAGTAAATAACCTTTTTCAAGCATTATTTTTCTAATGTTTTTTCGAGCAAAAAAAAAATTAGCCAAATATATGGGCAGATTTTTTGGAGTATGAGAATCTGAAATAATTTAATGGATTTGTTCTAAACATGTTTAGAACCAAGTATATGATTAAATTTGTTATTTTAGATAAATAATACTTACGTGCTTGGCATAGACTTCTAAAAATAAGTTATTTGTTGATTACAATTACTTGTTTGAATTGTTCAAGTCATAATCACTTGAAAAAAAATAAATGAAAACTTCAACCTAATCATGATTAATTATTTTACTAATCAATTATTGGAGTTACAGACCTCACCAACTAAGTTACAGATAGCAACTTTATTAGTATTTTAAGTAACTAATTAGTTGGTAAATTATAATATCAGATCACTAAAATTTTAAATCTACTGTGACTGATTAAAATACAGTACTTAGACTACTTCAAAAGAATAAATAAATTGCAAATTGTAGACATGATTAAATTATTTGTTTCATGTATTCATTTATCGTATTATTATTCTTATTCAATATTTTATAGTGATCGTTTAAATATTTTCAGAGAAAATAGAAAGATTATTATACGATAATCACTACGTGCATTTCAATTATTTTGTCAATAATGAGGTGGCTTCCATTTGCTGATTTGATACTGGATGATTTAAAATTCAATTAATCTAATATTATCGAACGACTTAGAGGGATCATGAATGATTTGTTATCACATGACCTGGTACCATACTACCATTATCTCTCTTTTATACTACTCTAAAATAAAAAATAAAAAGAGTTAATTTTGAAATATTATAAGATATTACTATTAATTAAAAATACAAAAATCAACATTTGCAAATTATGTTACGAAATCAAATTTAAAAAAAACAAACTATTTAATTCTCACAATAATATTTTGTTAGTATAGAATTATTTGAAAATTTCATAATCATTAGTTTTTTTTAAATATAGCGCGTAAATTCATTTATATATACAGTAACTTGTAAATCAACTATTGTGGTTGAAGTTTAACGAAGTACATGACGTAATGCATCTCAAAAGAGTCGATGGGAACCCGCACAAGCGATTGGAGCATGTGAATGGGTTCAATGAAAAGTAAAAAATCTTATCAAAGCTTGACATGTTGCAATCCTCTCGAAAGAGAGGGGTGTCATTCGGAGTGCGGGTATAGGTGGTGCATGAGTATTGTTAACTCGTGCCGTAAGGTGTTGGGTTAAGTCCAGTAACGAGAGCACCAAACAACTCTTCGATAACCTAAGGTGATTTGACCCCTTCGACATTTTTTTTCCGTTTTATATATCTCCTTTATCATTTGAGTGGTAAATTTTTTTTCGCCCTAAATCAAATGTCTTGAATTTGAATATCCTTAGAGTCATCTTAATTCAATGTTTTACCTCCTAATAATGTGAAGTTGTTCGACATGTATTCAAATTTAATCGTGCTCTAAAATAAATATAATATCGAGTTGCAAAAAAGACTAGCAAATCAAATAAGATGTTAAGTGAATTAGATAAATCATATGTGGTTAGCTCTACTAAAAGATCATAAAAGGAGAATCTAATCCCGATCACTCTCATGAAATATCACCTATTACATTAATTCAATTATTTTTTGAGTTATATATTATTTTAATAACATAAAAATGACTATATTATATGATAAGAAACCGCCATAATTCAATCTCACCCAAAAAAAAAAAAAAAGTTTAACCAATATTAATGTTATATGGATCTAGTGAATTCTTCTTCTTCACCAAACACACGCCCTCATTCATCTCTCTTTCCTCTACCTACCTAACCCCATCCACCATCCATTTTCTCACGCCGTTAAACTTAACGCCGTTAACTCTCTTCACCTAACTCCTCTGTTTCCCTCCTATAAATCCTCACATTTAACATTCATGAAGCTTCAGCAGTACAAAAATACCCATTTTTCATCAAAAGAACTCAAAAAAAAATGGATCTTCTCTTGCTGGAGAAGACCTTAATAGGTCTTTTCTTTGCCATTTTAATCGCTATTATCATCTCTAAACTTCGTTCCAAGCGATTCAAACTACCCCCAGGTCCAATTCCAGTTCCAATTTTTGGGAATTGGCTTCAAGTTGGTGATGATTTGAACCATAGAAACCTTACTGAGTATGCTAAAAAATTTGGTGATGTGTTCTTGCTAAGAATGGGGCAAAGGAACTTAGCTGTTGTGTCATCCCCTGAATTAGCTAAAGAAGTTTTACACACACAAGGGGTTGAATTTGGTTCAAGAACAAGAAATGTTGTTTTTGATATTTTTACAGGGAAGGGTCAAGATATGGTTTTTACAGTGTATGGTGAGCACTGGAGGAAAATGAGGAGGATTATGACTGTACCCTTTTTCACTAACAAAGTTGTGCAGCAGTATAGAGGGGGGTGGGAGTCTGAGGCTGCCAGTGTAGTTGAGGATGTGAAGAAAAACCCTGAATCTGCTACAAATGGGATTGTTTTGAGGAAAAGATTGCAGCTTATGATGTATAATAACATGTTTAGGATTATGTTTGATAGGAGATTTGAGAGTGAAGATGATCCCCTTTTTGTTAAGCTTAGGGCTTTGAATGGTGAGAGGAGTAGATTGGCACAGAGCTTTGAGTACAACTATGGTGATTTTATCCCAATTTTGAGGCCTTTCTTGAGGGGTTACTTGAAGATTTGTAAGGAGGTTAAGGAGAAGAGGTTGAAGCTATTCAAAGACTACTTTGTTGATGAAAGAAAGTAAGTTCACTTTTTTTTCTCTTGTTAATCCATTTATGCTCAATTTGATCATATCAGTTTTATTTATTAGTTTAGTTTAGTTGTAAGGGGTGTTTGACTAAATCTTGGAACAGTATGGATCAAATCGGAAAAGAAAAGGAAGTACTAGTTGGCATTACATTTCAGAATAGTAGGTCCATTTGACCCGATGGTTAAATTTTAAAAGTTTTCTGTTTTCAAAGTGATAATTGATATTTCAAAAATTGGCTGTTTGCAATTCTCCTGTGGCAATTAGAGGTTTGTCGTAACGGTGGCCTACAGTGCCCTAGCTTGCAGTGGCAAGAATAGTGAGTGATTTGGAGTAAAAAAGTTGATAACTTTTTGATGTTTATCAAATTTTTAGTTGAATTCCAGAATTGGCCACTAAGAATCATGTATGATTGAGTGATAGTTAAAGTGCTTTGAGGTACTATTAGGTAGCTTTTGATGGTGGACCTTGTGTTTTAGTTTGTAACATTTTTATTGCTTTACACAGGAAGCTTGCAAATACCAAGAGTATGGACAGCAATGCTCTAAAATGTGCAATTGATCACATTCTTGAAGCTCAACAGAAGGGAGAGATCAACGAGGATAACGTTCTTTACATCGTTGAGAACATTAATGTTGCTGGTATGTTTAGAAATAACATATATTTGATTCTCTAGAGTATAATTTGTTCTAGTTTGGTTTAAGTGATTGCATCCTGGTTAGTATAAGGTAATTTATAAGTGAATGAAAATCCAATTCCAAATTTATATATTTTTTCTCAAAAGTAGTAGTTGAGAGTTACCAAATAAGGGCCCCAAGATTTAACTGCTTTAATGATGACAAGGACTGGTTGGTGCCTGGGCCCTGGGGGCTACCACATACCAATTTCTTGTGGTGAATAAGATGTTATGTTTACATACAAGTAGAACATGTAGTTTCCAAGATTGAAGGGGAAATAAGTACCACAAATCTTATACTACTATAAGAGTTAAAGTTCCAAACAAAGTTGGATACAATCGGGTTATTTGGGTTTTACTGAATTCATTACTTTTGGTTCAAAGTGTGCATACATATGAAAAATGAGTTCATTATATATACATTTGTAATGAGATCACACACATTCTGAACTCACTAGTGGTAGATCTTGGAAATGCCTCTTCCTAAAGTTGTTTTATTGATTGTATCGCCTTGTAGTAAGTAATACGTGAGCTTTGATGAGGTCTTAAACTTGAGAAGTCACATGTCCTACCATCGAGAACCATTGAAACATGTCTTGTTTGTTCATA